ATGGCTTTTGACTATAATAAATAAAGTTTCCGTAAACATTCATTTACAAGTTTTTATGTGAACCTAAGATTCAATTTTACCGGAAAAAATGCCCAGGAATACAACTACTGGGTCTTGTGAGATTTGCAGGTTTGTTTGTTTTAAAGGAACTACATTGCTGTACTAGCATTGCTAGGAAGGAACCAGTACAAAGGGACCAGCGTTGCTCTACTATTTCAATTCCTTACAAGCAGGTTCTCTACATTGTGAACAGCATTTAAACATTAATCACATGGTATTCATGTATCTAATTTTAACTATTCTGATGAGTGTATAGTGATAACTCTTTGTTATTTAATTTGCATTTCCCTAATAACTAATGATGTTGGATGACATTTTACGTATTTATTTGCTTTGTGTATTTCTTACTTGGTGAAATGTCTGTTCCTGTATTTGCCTCATTTTGGAGTTAAATAGTTCAGTTGTTATAGTTGTGCTTTGTGAGTTTAACAATTCCAGATACTAAAATGTGTATTTTAACTACATTGCTTTCAATTTTTCCTCTTTAAACAATTTGTTTTTCATCTTCTTAGCAGTGTTCTTTATGGAGTAGAAATTTTTAATTTTGATGAGGTCCATTAATCTTTATGGTTTGTGATTTTAGTACCAAGTCTAAGAAGTGTGACTAGTCCTAGATGATACTTTCTTCTATTTTCTGAAAGAGATGTATAAAATTAGTGTTAACTCTTTCTTAAGTCTTCACTAGTACTCTCCAGTGAAACATCTGGGCCTACAGAGTTCCTTTATGGTAGGTTTAAAATTACAAATTACATTTTATTAATAGTCATAGGATCTATAATCTGTTTCCTATTGGGTTGTTTTGTTGGTGATGAATTTTCTTAGGTTTCAGAAGTTTAAATATGATTTTCCTTCTTTCATATTTCTTTGGGTGTATGCTGTTTGGGGTTTACTCAGCTTCTTGAAAACATTGGTTTATATATTTTGCTAAATTTTGGACATTGTCAGTATTATTGGTTTTTGAATATTTTTTCAGCCTTACTTCTTTTTTTTTTTCCTGTGGGGCTCCAATAATATGAAAGTTAGCTTTTGGTTATCATCCCTAGGTCCTTGAGGCTCTGTTTATTATACTTTTTAGCCTGTTTCTCTCTGTTCATATTGAGTAATTTCTATTTTTCTGTCTTCCTATTTGCTGATTCTTACCTCTGTCCTGCCCATTTTCTGTTAAGCCTGTTTATAGAATTGTATTATTTTATTTTTTATATTTTTCAGTTTAAAATTTCTTATTTTCTCATTTATGTCTCTACTTTTGGGCTGATACTTTTTGGACTGAGACACTCTGTTTTTTTCATTTATTTCAAGGCTGTTTATAATTGCTTCTTGAAACATTTTTATGACAGTTGTAAAACATTCATGAGATAATTCTACCATTTGGTGTTATCACCAAAATGGAACTCACCATTTTGTTTTTCTTTAGCTCATTAGTTGATCTTTGTATGTGTATTTCTCATCAGCTCAACTGTATGAAAGAAGGCAACACTAAAACAAACTTAAAAAGCAATAAAGAGAATGTTTTTGATGCTGGATCTGTATCTATGCAAATTGGGAATCATGGGATCTATTATTAATGTAGTAATAAAAATGAGATGTGTAGTTTCAGAAAAACAAGAAATCAGAACTATTAAAACCTATAGAGCCTGTCTTCAAAAATTTTGAGAGGATACAGTTCCAGAAAAAAAAAAAATGAATCCAGAAGAATTGGTGGTATGTGAGAATATTCCCTTTTTATAAGTTTCACTTTTTATAAAAATCAAACCAGGAGTTAGATAAAAATCAGCGTATTGTGAAGATGGAAGGGAGATGTGAGACATAAAATGATAACAGATTTCCTATATTGTTTAATGAGAAACTAATTAAGCCCTGGCCTTGTTAGAGAATTCTAAGTTTAAAAATAAATATTTCAGCAAGGATGTTGTCGAAGTAGAATAAAAGTTGGCTGTGTAATTTTATAAACAGTATAATATTGAAAAAAAGGAAGAAAAATGAAATGACAAATTTAACAAAAAGCAAGATAATATAAAATGATGAAATATCCAGGATAGATTGTGGCATATAGAAAACAATCTGTTGGCAACAATAATTTTAAAAATCAATAATGTAGGCATTACACTTGTCAGCATAGAAAACATCTTGTGTTTTGTACTTGGCCTGCTTCCAAATCCATTAGTTAATATTTATGCATATTACAGTAAAGCTTATGAATTGATAGATTATTATTCTATTTTTGAAAGATATAAAGAAGTCAGTGCCATATATGAGGTCTCATAAATCATAAGTAAAAGGCATTTGATTTTTTTAAATAAAATATTTCAAACATACAGACACGTGTTCATCTCCAGATTTTATATATTGAAATGTATAATTAATTCAGATTTTTCTTTCACTGTTTTGTTGTGAGAGTCATGGAATGTTACAAGAGAAGTCACATATTTGTTTATTTGTGATCTTTTTCAAACCCCTTCCCTAAAGGTAACTTTTTTTTGCTGTCTTTGATGTGTATATATCCTTTCAGCATTTTTATATTTGTAAACAGTTGAACAAAGTCAGACAGAACCTGAAGCAGAAAATGTTAATCACTAATCTATCCTTCCCCAATAATTATAATAAATGGCTATAACTATAATTTAAATATTGAAAGAAAGAAATTACAGATTTGAACAACTAACCATTTCCATAGTATTTGCAAAACATACCTAAGAGATAAAGTAATACAGGAAGATACAAAAAATAAAGGTATTCAAATGGAAATATAAAGCTGGTATAAAATACATGATCAAGTAAATTAATTCATATTAAAAATCATGTCAGGCTAGGTGCGGTGGTTCATGCCTGTAATCCCAGAACTTTTGGAGATGAGGTGGGTGGATCACTTGAGGTCAGAAGTTGGAATCCAGCCTGGTCAACATGCTGAAACCCCATCTGTACTAAAAACACAAAAATTAGCCGGGGATGGTTGCACACGCCTGTAATCCCAGCTACACAGGAGGCTGAGGTAGAATAATCGCTTGAACCTGAAAGGTAGACGTTGCAGTGAGCTGAGATTGTGCCACTGCACTCTAGGATGGGTGACAGAGTGAGATTCTGTCTCAAAAAAAAAAAAAAATCATTTCAAAGGGCGAAGTGAAACATTCCATATAAATATGTGGCACAAACCACAGATGATTTATGTCATGTTTATTCAGTCATTAATGTTGAGAATCAAGTGCATTGTTAATACTTGTATTTAATAAGTACTTATATAGCACATTTTATGTTTAAGCCCTATTCTAAGTTCCTTACTGATACAAACTTATTTAATTTTCATATTACCACTATGATTTAGGTCTTACTATGATCATCCCTAGTTTGCAGACAAGAAAGTTGAGGAAATGAGAATGTGATTACGCTGGCGATTTGAACAATACAGTAGGTTTTTAAATGCTTATGGTGTTGAATAGAAAACATTTAAGAAATTACAATTAACATGTACTGTTTGTATCCAACCTTAACACCAAAAAGAGTATGCTCTTTTGAAACACACACGACACAGTGACACATAATTATCATTAATAAAAGATCTGATTATCTCTTCAAATTCAAAAGTTTAGTGTTGTATTGGTTATTATCAGTGACCAAAAGCTAATAAAAATAGAAAAAAATCCACATACCAGAAGATGTAAGTTATATACCTCCTCTTCTAAACTGCTATTTGTTAGAATAAATCAAAATTGAAATTACAGGGTATTATTAAATAAGGGAATCTACATTCATCAAAAAGTAGAATGTGGTCAGAATACTTTTCATGTTGAATAATCAAGAAAGATTGAAAATAAAACATTAAACTTTCTGTGTAAGAAGATAAAAATATAAGACAAAATAAATGTTGAGAATGTAAAAGCATAATGTTTAAAAATTATTTGCTAAAACATAATTGTGGTCAGATATTCATGGATCAACAACTATATGTAACATATACGTGGAAGTAAATTTCCTTTTCCAAAGTAAGAACACGTTTTTTAATTTTTGTTCAGTAATTTCAGTACTTGCTTCCATACAACTTTTCAAAGCTTAATTTTATTGATAGTTTGGTTATACCAAATTGCTTTCATATATTCATCAGCTTTCTCTTTATGTAATTGAGAACATGATTATTAAGAAAAAAAGTTTTAGAATTTAACACATTTTGGAAAGAAATTTTAGAGAAAGAGATAATAATCAGAATTTAAATTTGTATGTATATGTTATACATAAAATATATATATATAAAGTTTCTTTTTAAGCAGAATTTTGAATCAAGAAAATCTTCCTCCAAGAGCATGTGGGTAACTTTCTAAGAAGTTTGTCTTTATTAGGCAATTTTTATATTTACTTTCATAAATGTAATATATTAATAAAAGTAGTTTGAAATTAAAACAATTTTTAAAATATTTATAAAATTAGGAAAAATTATTTCCTTATTACAGAAACAGAATAAGATGCCGTGAGTTAGATGATACTTAAATTCATAAATTCATTCTACTATATATGCTTCAGGTATAAATTTTATAAATATTAAATTATTGCTTTGTAATCACTGTTAAAACATGTTTTTCTTTGCTTTTTGTGTTTCTAAAAGAGAGGATTTACATTAACTAGAACAAAGCAGTTGACATTTCACATTAAGATGAAACTTGTCAAGGCAATTTAGATCTTTTCCATTTTATTAATATAGTAGTCAAGGAAATAGTCTTGTCTTTATAAGGTTACCTAAGTCGGATATTTCTTCCATATTCAATATATAACCCATTTTTCAGAAAGGTGAGGAGTGAGCGGGAAATAAGTATGACCTCAACAGGAAGAAGCATGCTTGCCTAGAGAAGCTAGTTACAATTTGTCTTTCAACACCCACTCTTCCCTCCTTTAAAATAGCGTCTCCGACTATTAGTGTTGCATACAGCTTTAAAAATCCCACATTCTGTGATGGAAGACAGTGTGGCAATTTCTTTTTTTTTTTTTTTTTTTCAGGGGCCATGCTAATCTTCTCTGTATCATTCCAATTTTAGTATATGTGCTGCCGAAGCCAGCACGGCAATTTCTTAAGGATCTAGAAATAGAAATACCATTGGACCCAACAATCCAGTTACTTGGTATATACCCAAAGGATAATAAATGTGTTCTATTATAAAGACACATGCACACGTATGTTCATTGCTTGCGACACTGTTTACAATAGCAGAGACCTGGAACCAATCCAAATGCCCATCAATGATAGACTGGATAAAAAAAAATGTGGCACATATATACTATGGAATACTATGCAGCCATAAAAAAGGATGCATTCATGTCCTTTGCAGGGACATGGATGAATCTGGAAACCATCATTCTCAGCAAACTGACACAAGAACAGAAAACCAAACACCACATGTTCTCACTAATAGGTGGGTGTTGAACGATGAGAACACATGGACACAGGGAGGGGAACATCACACACTGGGGTCTATTGGAGGGCGGGGCTCTAGGGGAGGGATAGCAGGGGGTGGCGAGATTGGGAGGGATAACATTAGGAGAAATACCTAATGTAGGTGATGAGGGGTTAGAGGCAGCAAACCACCATGGCATGTGTACACCTATGTAACAATCCAGCAATAGCTGCACATACACCTCAGAACTTAAAGCAAAAAAAGAAACCCACATTAAAAAAAAGTCACAAGAATAACAAAAGTCCTACAGTTTTAAATCATCCATTCTACCTAAGTTGGCCACATGCCCAAGTTCAGAAACTGGAAGAGCATCAGGATGGAAGGAGTCCAAGTCCCTGCCAATCAAGGCACCACACAGCATTAGACACTTTACTTTCTGACTTTGTATAGATGAAAAAGAAATTGCTCTCCTGTTCATGTCTGTTAATTTTGCTTTGTTTTGTTTTGTCTTTATAGAGAAATATAATCCTAAGCAGTATAAGAATAGTTCTAAATGATTGTATCTGTCTCTATTAATTTAAAATTGTTGATGTAAAATTAGCTTCTTTTTCTATTACCTAGTATGTGGGGCATGTAAGGAAATCAGTGAGTTGAGACAAAATGTAGAAAAAAAGTGCTTTCGTATATATTTATTTATACTTAATATGAGGCTATAGAGAGCAAGGCTTTTTAAAATCTTTCTGTTCTTACTTGCATGATCTGTGTAATTTGAGATCACTTGCTGAAAAGTTGTAAACTACCACTTGTATTACAGTAGAAATGAACCCCCCTCCAAAAGATAGAAAATGTGTTTTAGAATAAACACCCCTGATGTATTTGTTTATAGCTAAATTCCCATGAGCCTGCAGTTTCTATTTCTTTCTCCCTAATATGTAGGTCAAGCTTGAGATTTTTTGTTGTCTCCAGGAAACATATTGTGACAAATAAACTATACCGTTTCTTTTCACATCTTAGTACTGTCCTTCACCTTCCATGTTCTTTGAAAGTTTGTCTCTCACTTAATCTATTTTATGGCAACTTAGGGCCCTACAGGCGTCTTCCAGTGTCCTATTTATCTTCTCTATGGAGGATTATTTTAAAGCCTAACTGTTTAATAGTGACTAAATATAGTAGAGGGCATGTATTAAGACACATTAAATAAACTTCTAGTTATTTTGGTGTATAGGCCGAAAATATTACTGTACATTTGATATGTTGTGTTATTATGTTTGTAAGTCTTTTTGACTATTTACTAAAAGATTATTTTTAAAACATGGCCACTATGTGAAATATATTTTGTTAAATGCCAGCATTTTAAAGTCCATTGAAATTGCTTCTTCTTAAAGATGATCAAATAAGAAGGTAAGGAGGAGAATTTAAATGGCAAATTGTCATAAAGATTCTTTGATAAGTACTCTAATAGATCTATCACTAGGTGATATTAACTCTTTGAAATGGACATAGAATCTCAAGAAAGAGATGGATAGGACAACGATTTTGGGGATTGGTATAACATTAAATCCATAGATGTGGAGTTTAACAACAGCAGGAAGTTTCAAAAGACTATTGTATCTGAGCAGATGCATCCATAATAAGCCAGAAGCTTAAGAAATTATAAAACATTTGGAAAATTTTTTTGACTCTTAGTATACAGTTGAGTAAGACATGATTAGAAGGAAAATAAATCAGGTATCACATTTTGAATTAATTTTTTGATCTAAGAATTGTAAATTTTTATTCCAATAACTACTTGTGAAGGAATAATTATATGGTAACATTTCATTTGGAAATATTATTCTGGAAACATTAGAAGAATGATGAGGGAGCAGCAATACAATGAGTGTTATAATGAGAATCCTAGTTAAATGAGTGTTGGCAGAAAAGTCATAGATGATATAAAAAATCCAGAGATTGTGTAGCATATTTAACACTGTGATTGACTGCACATGGGAATAATATCCAAAAGCTTTTTTAGTCTGAGTAATTTTGTAAGGAAATACCCTGCATGGGAGAGAAGACATGACTGTGGCTCTCTAGGTGGCAGAGATGCTTTGCCATAGATCTTGTTAAAAAATATGTCCTCTAGTATGCATTGCACCAGAGGCACTATAAAACTACCTGGGGGGTTGTCTAGGGAAGCCACAAGCCCCCAGATAATGCTAATTATGTTGTATTTCAAGCCAGGGATATGGAGGAATTTTTCTGCCCAGCAGGAGCTAGGTGGTGGAGAAACATTCGCACTGAAGGGTCCAGGCACTATAGAATTTACTCCCGCTGAAAGAGCCTAGTGCTCTGTTTGTGCTGTGGGAATCTGTCAAGGGAGCATATTTGAACCAGAAAAAAAAAATTCCTTTCCTCTGCAATGTTTTTTTCCCAGAATCCTCTACTGACAAAACTTCACCTCATGCCAACAGACAGAAGAAAAGTTTTATATTGTTCAGATTTATTTATACTGAGCAAACAATGGAAGTTGAACTTGGAAACAATAGGAAACAATAAATTGATGACTGGCATGCCATTCAATGTAATTCAACAATTCCACTTCCAGGTATTTAAGAGAAATAAAAATATAAATCCATAAAACTTATACATAAATGTTAATAGAAGATGTGTGTAACAAAAAATTGATAACAATCTAAGGAGCCTCAATTAGTGAATGAATAAGCAACTTGAGGTATCTGAATACAATGTAACACTACTTAGCAAAAAACAGAACAAACCATTTATACCAGAAACAATATGAGTGACTTTTAAAGTAATATGTTGAAGGATTGAAGTCAGACATAAAAGAGTTCTTATTGTATTTTTAAAATATATATGAAAATCTTGAAGAGGCAAAATTGATCTATAGAGATGGAAAGGATAATGATTGCCCAAGGCAAGAGGTTAGTGAACTGACGGTAAAGGGAAATTAGAGAGCCTCCTGGGGTGATTAAGATTTTCTCTATATTAATTTGGTTGCTGGTTATTTGAGTGTCTAAGTTTGTCAAAATTATCAAACTATATATTTAAATAGTATGAATTTCATCCTAGGTAAACTATGCCTAATTTAAAAACATCTAAACTAAATTACGATATTCTATTAATTTTTTTAGGTTTTATTTATGCATCACTAGAAAATGAATTTTTGAAGTTGTAAAGATATTTTTCTATATTAACTTTACACCAAAATCATCATTCAAAAAGTCATATATTTCTTTTCTGTGTGGATATTAAAGACTATGGTACTATAAAAATATATACATTATCTTGATACATTTTATATAAATAGGTATAGATAGTATCAAAAATAGGTTTATTTCAGCAATATGATTCAACATTGTGATATCTCTTAAAATAATGCAGTGGATTAGTAAATTCAATATATTTGATCATCGTAATAGAAACAAGAACAAAACTTATAAATTTTGACATCCATCTTGATTAATAACTCTTATGAGACTGTTTGAAGGGATACAAGAATGGCTTCTGTTACTGACAATAATTAATATTCTTCTAAATGATTTAGCTCATCAATTATAAGTAAAATATTTTTGGCTGAAAGAAAGAAAATTGCAAGTAAAATGCTTTAAACTCTATTGAATGTCATTCTTTCAGAAATAAGGAGCTTTGAATAATTCACTCAGCTACTTAAAGACTAAGCTTTAATCCTTTCAAATAATAAATTTATTTATTTTTTTTTTACTCTGCCTTCTTCACAACATCATCTTTCTTCTTTGGTCTCAGATAGGCATCACTCCATGGTTATAGATGCATGCAGCAGTTTTAAGAATCATCAAAAAATACACCTGTATTTAAGGTAGTTGATGTTTTCTTAGCAGTGAAAAATTAATCTTCCAGAAGTTCCAAGTATACCACTCATTAGGTGTCATTAATTGCCCACATTTAAATCATTTACTGCAAGGAAAAGTGGAGCACCATGATTTGCTTAGAGCAATCTGAATATGTTCGCAGAGCTTGAAGAAAGGATGACCTTATAGATGTAAGTTGTGTTTCTGTTAGCAAGAGTGAAGTGTCAGCCAGGCACGATGGCTCAAGTCTGCAATTATAGCACTTTGGGAGGCCAGGACAGGATTGCTTGAGCTTAGGAATTTGAGATCATCCTGGGACATATAGTGAGGCCTTGTCTCTACCAAAAATTTAAAAATATAGCTGGGTGTGGTGGTCCCAGCTACTCTGGTGACTGAAGAGGGATGACTTCTTAAGAACAGTAGGTCATGATTGAAGCCATTTGTAATCATGTCACTGCTTCCAGCCTGGGTGACAGCGCAAGACCCTGTATCTAAAAAAAGGATGAAGTTTCAGATAGATAATTAGATTAGCATGCCACACTGATGTAATAGAAGGCGATGAAGGAAAAAAAAAAACCAGGAATTTAATATATAATCAAGCAAATGTCATCTAGATAATTTAATATAATCAACTAATAACAGTAAAACTAAAAAGAAACCCCAAACTTTCTCAATACAAGATAAACACACTAATTATTTGTATATGTACCAACAATAACAGGAAACAAGTTACAGGTTCCAAAAATAGGCTTAGGAATATGTTCCCAAATCTAAAATTGAGAAAACTATGAAACTTCAAGAATGAAAGTTATAAAATAACATTGCAATAAATGATAT